CATCGGGGTAAGAAAGAATCTGTCGGCAATCTACTTATTTCAATCAACGATCCAAAGAGATCATCTCCACTTGGCGGTTCGGTCGCCGAAAACGAATTTCCGGCTGCAGCAAAGAGCGTCCAAGTTGTGAGACTCGAGACACGAGAGAGAGAGAGAGTAGTGTGGTGTCTAACACAGCTCGGAATTGTCGCTAAAACGCGTCCTCGGTTGATCGAAACGGTTCGGTGTCTCTTTGAAAGAGGGCAAGCTGCTGGCGGCGTCGAGGGAGTGCAAGTTCATCGAGACGTCCAGCGGGATCCAGCACAACGTCGACGAGCTTCTGGTAGGCGTGCTCAAGCAGATACGGCTCCGCGAGAGCCGCGACAAGAAGCTGAAACGCCAGGGTAGCAAGGGGAGGATTCTCTCGAAGCTGCACAGTAGCAAGACGGCGCTCAGCCTCCATCTAGCCAGGGAGATACTGAACAAGATGTGCTTGAACGACAGCAAGAGCAAGAGCTGTGAGAATCTGCACGTGCTCTAAACGAATATCGCGATCATCGACCTCTCCGTCGAGCTCCACATTTCTTCTACGTTTTACACGTTTTACACGTCGTACATTCCACTCTTTTAATCGTGAAAACAATTTAAAACACTCACGGAGGGTTGATGAAAATTCGTTAGAGCGCACGGGATTCTAACTTAACCGGCGCAAAATATGGAGCACCGAGAGGAACGGCGAGAAAAGTTGTATCCGCGGTTAGGAATGCGCCCGAGTCCTCGTTAAATATCGATTCGACAGTTTTACAGTTTAATCTTCACGAGGCAGTGATAAAACATGATTAGATATATATGGTTTATTCTCCCGGTCGGAGAATATTGTGCTTGGTCGTGATTGCGGTTTTCGGTTAAGAGGATTTCATTAAAATCGTTTCAGGATAATGGTCGTTGCCCGAGTTTACCCTTCGAGTTACGAGCGGAACGCGGGTGGAAGATCGTTACCTCTCGCGTTATACAAGCGGGTTAGAGTGGAACGCAGAGAGAGATCGTAAAGTCTCATCCGTAACGCGTATCGATTTCTCCTTTTTTGTTTTTTTTTTTTCATCGCGCATTTAGTCTCGTAACGAATTCAGGCCTACACACGCGCGTCTCAGGAAAAGCGGACGGACGCGCAAATAAGGAAACTTTCACCCTTCCAATCGTGCCCCCGTTCCTTGAATAATATTTGCTTCGCCCTCGGCTTCGCCTGCCGCTGCTAAGTAAATAGCCCGTCACAATAGAAGAAAACTGTGTTTCCTACTGTTTGTCAATCAACTTATCGATCTATCGATTTCGTCCACTTACGAGAACGTAGGATATTTCACGTTTCGTTTCGTCCTCGAACCCCCTAATATTGTCCGATTACCCTTATCCTACCGTTCGCGCAATGTCTACTCGACAGAGCCCACGGAAAATTCGAGCTCGATACTTTTCCACGCTTTAACAATTGGCGGGAAAATTTGAAATTCGAAAAATTCAACGACCTTACTTTATTCTAATTTATTACGAAACGAAACTGGCGATAAGTATCTTCCGAAGTATTGACTCCGGGCCAACAGCGAGGATTGAAACGCGCGACAAACCTTGAAATCAGAAGGGAAGACGAATGGCTTGGGAATTGATCGCGGCTGGCTTGTACGCGATACGATTAATTTATTAGGATCTAACGGGTAACACGTGTCTCGTGTTGCAACCGGTTGTCGTACGCCAGGCGCTCGTTTATCTACAGGGCGATTCCTTCGCGAATCGATCGATGCGATAGGTTCGTCCATCGAGTCCACGTGATAAAAAACGATTGTTTCGTGTGCGAAGGGAGGAGGTGCGAAAAGGGTTTCAAGGTTTATTACCAATCTTCCTGGACGAACTTTCCAAACTAACTTATCGATCGGGGAACGAGACTCGCAACACCTTCTGTGTGTTCCTTTTCTTCTCCCGATTCGCAGCGTGTAAATTCAAATTTCCAAATGTCGTTTGCTCTTTTTTTCTCTCGTTTTTTTTCCTGCACGAACCACTCTGTGTACTCGATTGGTTCGTGGCGCGCGGTATAGATGACGACAGAATGTCTCTCCGTCTTTCTCCTTCTCGCGTGCAAACTCCCGAGCGACAGAGAGAGGGACACTTTTCCGATAATTGCGGCTACGCGATATACCGGCCTCAATTAAGCGACTCCCATTAGTTGAGATAAAAACGGTCGATAGTCGTCTACTTCCGGAACGAATTGATTCGTGTCAAGGTGCGAAGGTTCGCTGTGGAATCGGGTTTGATTTTTTCAAAGTGGCCGGGGCTAGGCTGCAGCTTTGCCAAGTGCACAACTTTTCTCTCTCGCGTTAATTCGTCAGATTAACCGACGCTTTTAACCAGAGGTCGGGGACCTTTCGGAGCCGAAGAGCCGTTTCAACGAAGTAACGTGGAAAAACTAAAATTTAGGGAGCCGCAATTTAACCCTTTCGCGACTAGCGCCGGTTATATCCGGCATCCACTAAATGCTTCACACTGGGCGCCGATTATATCCGGCATCCATTAAGCGCGTCGCATTGGCTCGCGTCTCAAAAACTCAAAGTGAAGATTTATTTTAAAATAGGCCTCGACAACATTCCCTTTATCCGATACACCCTTAAGTCCTCTGCTGTTCCAACGAAATCCTCCAAGATTTGAAAAAACGCGAGACACTCTTAATGCGTATGGTGTGCAGTAACGGCACGACGACCCGTGCGTTAGTGGCGTACCGATGCCTAGTTCCGCCGTCGCGAAAGGGTCAAGTTTAAATTCTTTACCGACGCGTTTTAGTTACTTTTTGGGGGGTAACTGTCGGTTCCGTGGTAGCAACGGCAGATTTTTATTAAACATTTAAGAGCCGCAGGTTCCCGACCCCTGCTCTAAACCGTCGTTCGACGGACCGGTAGGAGACCGACAATTTCACATTGAGTATCGAGACAACGAATCGAACAATTTCGTATTCGTCTCGTTGGACGCTGGTTTCGTCCAATACGAGCGACGCTGGACGTCCCAAACTCTTCTTACCGTACGATCTCGTGTATAAATGATAATACAACGTTTACGATTAAGGAGTTAAACATAAATACACAGGGTGGTCCACGCAACGTGTGCACCGTTATAACTTCCGAAATATGCGTTGCACGAAACAATGTTATATACAAAAGTTACATGGTTTAAAAGGGTATCTGTGATACAAGGTTGAATCTCCAACTTGATATTACGTGAAGAAAATTTTCAAGTAATAAAGTGAAATTACTCTGTTGGCTATTAGGTTTAGGGCTAATAATGGTCAATACTTTTCTACTTACAATTCGATACTCTACCATATTCTGGTATAAAAAATACAGTATTCTGTTTAAAAAACAAAGTTGACCTTCAAATCTCCGAAACGACTCCACCTATAAAAAAAAATTAACGCACTACATAGTGTACCCTTTTGAACCATGTAACTTTTGTATATAACACTCCCGTCACATTGAAGAGCAAAAGATTCGATCGTTTACTAATTTGTCTTCCACGGTCGGTGAAGACGCTCTCGTTCGATTTTCGTTTCGTTGCTTTTGCCCCCGGGAGAAAGAAACGAAGAAACGTACGCTTTGGCCACGGGAAAACTGGCGTACCGCGTTCGCCAGGTTCTCGACAGGAGAAAACGAAGAATCGAGTAGGGACGGCCTAAGAAGCACGTACAAGACGGATCGGAGAAAAGTGGTCCATCCGTCTGTTATATGTGCACGTAGAAATGATTGTATCATCGTTATTCGCGCTGTCTCCGACGAGGCCGGCTGATCGTCGATAACGATCGATCGTCGCCAGAGGCGTCATCGGCGTACGGAGTATCTCTAAGCTAGATAATCGCTTCACATATCGAGCAACGGCTTCTATATCGTAGAAATGAATCGGTTTCGCTCGTATTTCATCGTCAATTCTCATTCGGACCTTCATTAGTCGTCACTTTACCTATCGTGTGTTTATTAAACTATCTCGGTTCGTCAGATGAAAAATCCAATTTTAAACGTTTATTATTATTATCGTTATTACACACGTGTAATATTCTAGAGCATCGTTCGTGAACACGACACCGATTCTCAACGCATCCCATCGCAAGAAAAGGAAAATAAACGAATATTGTTAATCGTCCTTACGAAATCGTGGATACCTCAGAGTTAACCCCCCGAAAGGCTGGTCTATTTTTATATACGCAAGCTCGTCCGACACGTTTTATTACGATCTGTCATCCGCACGGTCGACGTTTTTCTACACTGTAAGAACGATTATATCCGTGCAGGGAACGAAATGTGTTCTTCTTTTTAACTTTACTTTCGGCGTTTTCCCACTTGGTACATTCTTAGACCCTTCGACTGTGCAAGAACGAGAGGCTCGAGATTGCCACTGTATTTCCTTTTCTCTCTTTCTTTCAAAGTCGAAATTCTCACCGTTCCATCGAGACGTGTTCGTTTTCTTCTGCGCAGTCCCTGCACGTCCACACGACAATCAGCATATTTTGTTATCTATCGTGTTGTACTTGATATCTGTGGTAGAATTTAGCTCTTAGGTGTTTATGTCGAAATAAAAGCAATATACACGAGCGAGTTTGTTGTTTCTGAACCTGTTCCTTCGGTTGCATGCTTTTCTCGTTTTTCCAAGTACTAAAAAATATTCTTTTCGCGTGAAAAAGTGAAGCATCGAAAGCCTAAACACTCCTGCTGAGCTGAGGGTTTAAACGCTTCCCGAGCCGATCGATAGAAATCGGCGAGGTCTGACCGATCAGCAATTGTTCCACGAAAGAGGAAATTTTTCTCAACAATGAAAAAGGAAAAATGTCCAATGCACTCGCGTGCAACGAGCGATCGAATTAGAGCGGCGTGCACGCTGCATCGGAATTGCTCGGCGACAATTCACGCCATCTGTCGTGAAAGTAGACCACTCTAGAACCACCACCTCCAGCTCCGGATGGAACAACGAGCACCACACCAATATGGCCACGCGTCGAGTGTTCTTGTAGCGTGTTCGTGGCACGCCCGTGAATAAAGTCCGTCGCGAGGCGGGATTAGCGATCGATCGTGCAGAACCGGACCGCCCGGCTGGTTCATCGGGAGCATGTCGACGACCAGCAAATGGGATTTGTCCCGGGAGGACATAAAAGCCGCTGCCACGGACGAAAAGGTCGAGTATTCTACGTGTCGACCGTTATAGCATCGATAACGGCGTAAGGTAGAGGTCGTGTGGCGGGAAATTTGAATTTGAATGGTTACAGGAGCTGCTGCTGGAGCACGACAGCGATCAGGATGAAAATATGCTGTTCAAGTGAGTTGAATTTGTCGAATAACTCGTCTGGTAATTTCTGGGTGTTTCAACGTGACATTTTTATGCTTCAGTCGACCGAGCACGTCTTCGGGAGAGACTCAGGCGGATGGAAAGATGGATAGGTAAGAGTGTCTTCCATATTTTCGCGTGGATTTCGATTTGCTTTCGTACTATCGTTCAGATACGTATACTCTACTAGAATATTTTTATGCTTCAGTCGACCGAGCACGTCTTCGGGAGAGACTCAGGCGGATGGAAAGATGGATAGGTAAGAGTGTCTTCTATATTTTCGCGTGGATTTCGATTTGCTTTCGTACTATCGTTCAGATACGTATACTCTACTAGAAAATCGCTAGAGTGACGAGGAACGATCGTTAGTTGCGAAATGTTTAAGAACGAAACGACCGAAACTGGTGTCTTTTGTTCTAGCGTTAGGTTACAAATTCAGGAAGTGACGGAGGTGATGCGAGAGAACGTTCAGAAGGTATTGGAGCGAGAAGAGAGGCTAGAGGATCTACAGGAAGCTAGCGAACGTTTGAACATGGCTGGAAACGAATTCAGATCGACGGCGAAGAAAGCTCAGCAAAGGGCGTGGCTTCAGAACTTCCGAACGAGGATTATTCTCGTTACTATGGCGGTGACAATTGTCATCTGCATCATTGGTACGGTGCAAATTTACATTGTACAACGCACGATAAGCGCATGCCTCTTTTTATCACTGTACTTACGTTTGAAACCCGAACATTTATCTTTAGAGATTGTCTAATCAGATTCGTTCGGTATCTTTAATCTCTCTTTTCCTCAAAGGCCGATCGTCGTTTCTCAAATTGTAACACCCCAATTCCGATTGTGCATTTCTAGTTTACTCGTCGAACGTCTGTGTTCTTCTATCGCGATCGTCGTGCACTGCACCATTCTCTCTTTCTTTCATCGCAGATCATACGTAGAAAAATCGTGCATCCAACGAAAAAAAAAAAAAAAAAAGAAATCGTCTTTGAAACACAGTTCACGCAGTCAGTCGACGCGTATCGTTTTCAGTTCTGGACATCACGGTGCTTTACCTGGTTCTCAGATAGCAAACACGGTGTAGCGAGCTTCGATCGTTCGATTCCAGGTATTCGTCACAATTTTCCACTTCTAATCTCATCACACACGCGCACACGCTCACACACACACCTTCACCTTATAGCTTGTTTTACCTTGTTTTTTTCAGGCCGGATATCGCCTGTTCTTCGAAGTCATCGCGAAATTGACCGCATCCTAACACATCTCGAAACGTACCGTAACGAGTTTCTCCCTTGCATATTCCGACGCTTCTCATTTGCTCGATCGATTTTGCACGAGTCTCACGTCCCACACACGCTTCGATCCCGCCGTTCGCATTCAACCAAAAATATACGCATTATTGGCGTTTTTATTTTTCAGTATCCATCGCCGTGAAATACTCGTGACCGAGGCCCCCTCCAGACTGAAACAGTATCGTTTAAGAGCGTACGTTGTATAACTGTACCTGTCTTTCAAAGATTGTATACGTGTATTACTATCATAAGTTTGTATAAAAAATACATATATATCTTGTTATTTTTAATCCGCGTTGAATAACTAAACACACGTCCAACACCGTCGAAAACAGAGAAAAAAAACGCAATCTAACGTCCGATGCTTTGTTCGTACCTGTCGCTTTTTATCCCGTTTATTAATCGTTCAGAAAATTGAACACGTTAACACACACGCGCGCGCGCACACACACGTGTACGCTAACTGTAACTCGATTAAATTCACCTTCACGTTACCTTCCACAAGCCGTTACCCCATCGAATCGAATCGAATCGATCCTTCGTTTCGTTCGAATTCTCCACCGTTCGTCCGCGTACACAGCTCCGTGAAATTTCCTCGTCTGTATTTGCACAAAAATGTCGTTCGAAATGAACCGGAAAAAAGAAAATCGGCGAAAAATCAGGATCGATGAAAAACACAATGTCTCTCTCTCTCTCTCGTCAAATTTCGTGGCGCGATCCGCGAAACCTGAGCGCTCCCCCACACATTCTACGCCACTGACTATCAATGACGATCACTTGTACGTTTCGCGACACGATATATACGCATACAAGATAGACACACGCTCGTTCACTGCTCGTTCAGTCGTGGTTCGATCGCGGCATCGAGCAGCTGCTCGCGTCGAGCGTAACCTCGTCCTCGGGCACGAGACTCGTCCCACCGCGATCCATAGATCGATCTTTCTCTTCTCTCCTCCGCGATTCGCGAGCGCGCGCGAACGGAAAAGGTAATAGAGAATAAGGAAACGCGATGGCTGTGCACGCGTTGGTGGCCGCGGCATTGTCCGTGTTTATCGGCGCCTATCTGTTCACGGGAAACCGCCGACGCATCATTTACTTGCTCTACAAGACCTTGCCTAGGGACGTGCTGTGAGTATTCGACGGAGTTAGATACTTCTTTCAAATTGAACTTTAGCAGAACGCAGCAAGGATCGTCGAGATAATTTCGACGTACGTTTTATCGTAGATAACACCTCGTCGATGGTAATCGCACCTTTCTTTTTTCATCCTTTCAGTACGTATTTTTCTTTCTTTCAATCCTGAGACAGTGACACGTCGAAGATGGTAATTTGAATAACGACCACGACGATAATACTGAAACCTCTTCCAACGCTAACTTTCACGATCGCGCTTGACGTTTGGCGATATTGCGGCAAGACCACGTGCTCGTGTTGATAATCGAGGTACGTGCGATTGTCGAATGTGGGAAGCGTGAGATGGCAGCTAAAAAGAATTACTCATTCATCGTTGGAACACGTTTTCCTTTCACGCAACGTACTACATCCGCTGTCTTCTCTGTCTCGCTAGATACGACCAGATACACCGTGTTTCGTGTCGATTTAAAGAAACAAAGAAGAAGAGGAAAAAGGAAAGATCCCCAATTTTCCCTTCATTTTCTGCCAGAGAGAGAGAGAGAGAGAAAAATGTGTGACGAATGAATCACTCTAATTTCCGCCATTCCTTTCAAACGAACCTAAATAGACGCGACCAGCCGGCTAGGCTGCAGCATGGTACAAGTTCTTTCGCCTAACTCATCCTTTACAATTAGATCACTTAAGAAATTTCACGATACTATTGAACGCGATCAAAGGTCCGGCTATTCGAACGAGGATCATCGCGCGAACGCGTGATCACGCCTTTTCAAAGAGTTTCGCGAACCGAACGGAAGCGTCGCGTGGTAGAGAGAATGGAACTGGCCGCGAAGAAATTTTTCCATCGCGCGTGCAAAGACGAATCTCGGAGAGTTTGTAATATGTCGTTGCGGTATAAACAAGGTGTGCATGGAGGGGAATATATTCTGGATATTGATTTTCACGGTAGAACCGGTCGTTGATTCCACGTCGCCGAGAGAATTCTTCGGTGGACGCGTGTGTGGTAGTGGTGCACGCACGTTCGCCAGCGGATGCATCTCGTGCATTGTGCCACCGTGAACGGCCATTGTAGGGCCAATATGGAGCGCACGGAATTTAAACAGCCGGCTGAATAACATTGTTTCGAAGCCGCGGTTACACTCTCGATCAGGCTACCGTGTAAATGCATTCGGTTTTAAGGCTGGACGCGATGTGCAACTGGTTTTCGCCTCGGTCGATTTTTAGGGACGTGACTGGTGTCGCAATTTATCGGGCTACTCTTTTGTTTTTGGATACATTGCGGGCCGAAAATATCTACTACCGTTGAGAATGATTTGGGGTAATTGAATTAGTTGCTGATTCTTTGTAGATTTGAAATTTATGGCGTGGAGATGAATGGAGATTTGAGTGATAGGAGTTGTTCAAAAATCGTCCAAGTTTCCAATTTTTAACTCTGCAAATTTTTAAGTAACTCTCAATGCACAGTGATCCTAAATTTTGACCAGTAGAGTACTTGCAATTTTTTAACTCTGCAAATTTTTAAGTAACTCTCAATGCACAGTGATCCTAAATTTTGACCAGTAGAGTACTTGCAATTTTTTAACTCTGCAAATTTTTAAGTAACTCTCAATGCACTGTGATCCTAAATTTTGACCAGTAGTATCCTTTTAAATTGTAATTCTGGAAATTTTTAAGTAACTCTCAATGCACAGTGATCCTAAATTTTGACCAGTAGTATCCTTCTAAATTGTAATTCTGGAAATTTTCAAGTAACTCTCAATGCACTGTGATCCTAAATTTTGACCAGTAGAGTACTTGCAATTTTTTAACTCTGCAAATTTTTAAGTAACTCTCAATACACAGTGATCCTAAATTTTGACTAGTAGTGTCTTTCTAATTTTTAACTCTGCAAATTTTTAAGTAACTCTCAATGCACTGTGATCCTAAATTTTGACCAGTAGAGTACTTGCAATTTTTTAACTCTGCAAATTTTTAAGTAACTCTCAATACACAGTGATCCTAAATTTTGACTAGTAGTGTCTTTCTAATTTTTAATTCTGCAAATTTTTAAGTAACTCTCAATGCACTGTGATCCTAAATTTTGACCAGTAGAGTACTTCCAATTTTTTAACTCTACAAATTTTTAAGTAACTCTCAATGCACTGTGATCCTAAATTTTAGCCACTAATGTATGCACCCCTAATTTTCCACTCTGGAAATTTTTCTGTAACTCTCAACGCACAGCGATCCTGAACCTCCTTTTTCCGCATGCGACTGTCACTCCGCAGAAGGAGTGAAATGTACGAAATTTCAATCGCGACACGATTCGTCTTTAAGTAGAGCGAGAATTTCAAAGTGCGCTTGAATCACGTATAAAATTAGAGAATTACTCAGACAGTGGTGTTGCTTTAGTTCCGAGTGAGAACTTGCATTAGTTGAGAGAAATTGTGCCCCAGGGCGTGGCACGACGCGATGTCGATACACGGAAACAAAATTCTCTAGTCTCGTCTGGCCTTATCGATTCCGTTCATCGAGTGGTTTCGGCATTCTTCACCGTTCAACGTCTATTTCTAATCGCAGCTCTAATTACTTATTAATTACATACGATTAAGTCGCAAAGGTCTTCGACGATGGACTGTTCGACTTTTGAACGGCTGAAAAGCTCGGCGTGTAGTACACATGGTAACACGTGTTTCAATCGTAGAAAGGAACCTTTGCACTTTTGAACTCGTCATGAAAGAAGAGGAAACATTAACGTCTGGAGCTGATACGCTGCACCGTGTTATCTGGATACTTGAAAAACGCACTCGCGTTTGTAACGCCTGATAATGCAACAATGCAACTTGCAAATTTGACCTTTTCCTTCTTTCACAAAATTACCGTCAATCTTCGCTTAAATTCAACCGTAAATGGAAATTACGGAGATAGACAATTACCACAATTTCTCTCAATTAACCATCCTCCGTGAATTCCTTCTCGAGGAAAACACTTTCACCGGAATAGATCGCGTGAAGATACGCTTTAAAATCCTACAACCTTTCCACTAACGATTCCAAAAATTTCAACAATCGACTAGTTCCTCAAACATTAAGATAACTATAATTACCGCCAATTTAAACACCATTTACCACGTCACAGTAATACCCAAAGTAATTCCCGGAAAAGTTTGACGAACAAAAGCACGTACGTGCTTTACGTGATGAAAGATTGTCGCGTTGCCTCGTTTCTCGGTTGGAATCGAAGCCGATCAATGGCGGGAAGAACGTGCTACGAGGCAAACGCCGGTAATGGGATCGAAACGACTGGTCGCGTCGGAATAATCGTAATTGCTCCTTCAGATATCGAACCCGCGAGGTATTCTTCACCCTTTACGGATCTATTGCACACGGAGTACGTGTACGCGGTGTGCAAACATCGTTTAAAAAATTTCCTCAGTCGCGGAAAGAGGCCGGGCAAGCGTCCTTGTCCGCCAACGTGTGCTGGATACCGGCGTTTACAATCCATTAAGCGCTGGTCTATCGCAACTCGAACAGCAACCGTCTCGTTTGCCTTGCCCCGGGAACTGGTGTACTACACTTTTTTCCTCTGTCAGATTTACTCGCCACCCTTGTGCAGCAGACGATTGCGGAAAAATATGCGAAATTATGATCGTATTTGTTGTACGTGGAGCTTCTGCGAGAATGAAGAGAAAAGATTGTTGGATTGTGGTGTCGGATCTGCAAATTGATCCCTGGATCACTCGACAAACGTAAAGCTCGTTTCAAGTGAGAATACAGAGTCGGTTGTAGAAGTATTTGAACCCTCTTTAAAAGTTTTTTCAAAAGAATAACTTTTTCTTTAAGTTGGACTAAACGACTTGAGTTTCTTTTTTGGGGGGGAGTTACAAAGGAATAGTTTGATAGATGATGTGTAGGAACAATTTGGGAAAAATAGAAAGTAGTGTAGTTTGCAGTTTACAATGTCTTTTATTTGAGCTTGTAACGAAAATTTGAAAAGTACGTTTTGTAGATTTGTGTCAATTATATATAGGACATGTGCTGAGAAATTTCATCGA